GAGCGTCATGCATTTGGTGTGGAGGAGGGCCACTAGGAGGGGCAGAGGCGGGGTGTACTGTACTATGCAGAACAGCTGGAAGAGATGTCTAAGTCACCTTTTATCTATATAGCCATCTCCTTCTCAGTCTCAAGTTTCTCTGAATGTTCAGTCTAAAAGAAGCTCTTTTCTTCCCTACCCTGTATCATCATCCTGCATCCAGTTTACTTTAGTCTCTGGAATGACTGAAATAAGCAGAGGAAACCTCTCTCTTCTAGGCAGTCATATCCCTTAGAGCAGTACCACACCTCAAAATAGTTCTGGTACTTTTATTTGCTGACAGAAAGTACCTCGCTCCTTTGGCTCTCAAGTACCAGACTTGGGACTCTTCCATCTCTTTGCTCACAACCGGTTAATAACGATTCATACAGTTATCACTATCTCCACAGGAATGGCTGAATTTCTTCCCTACCCACTCTAGTCGCAACCATGTCTTCCTCTAACTTCATATAAACACGAGCAATCATTCCCTTCAGCAAAGTCATCTGAACATATTTTGGGGGAGCTCTGGGCCCTTGGCTCTTCCAGTGAGGATGTTTGGCTGGCCATGGGAAAGAGCGTGCTGCAGTTCAAGGACCAGTAGAGTGGGACAAACGCGCTCGTTCTTAGCAGCTATTGCAGAATGCAGACTAGAACCCCTAAATTACCTTCATTAGCATCCTCAAAAAATGTCTTTGTTTAAACTAGCAATGTCCTGTGGTGCTCCCATAATCCTAGAGCCACTCCACACAAACACTGCTAAAGAAAGGAGTTCAGAGCTACACATGTTGAATGCAGGCTGTTTAGTTCAGCAAAACCATACAAAACACTGGCTCATGGATTTTAAATGTATCTGAGTTTCCTAGTCTCCTCAAGTTAGTCCAGAAAACAAATACTCTCCTCTTGCTCCTACATTCTGTTAAGTAACAGAAGAAAGTCTGGAGATTAGTCATTGCTAGCACCTTCAGCTAAGGAATCAATTGAGACCACCACAAGTGACAAAATGGAAATTCAGCAAACACTCCCATAAAACAAATCTAATGCTGCTTGTATCCTCATCCCTTTTGCACTTAACTCATCACTTTATAATCCCAAGTCTTCAGGAAGAAAACGTTTTGGGGGCGGAGGAAGGGAAGAAGGGATGTGCAGGGAATAAAGCAGTTTGCCATTTGCGCAGGAATGTTTCTTGGAAGGAAAACAAGAGGCTGTAGCCAAGGAAGCTGAAGATCCCACAAAATCCAGCTGAAACTGAGGCAAGAGTCTTCATGATAGAGTTGAATTTACATACCAGAACAAGCTGAGGGTAATCCCGACACATCTTTATGATTGAGGAGCATGCATGCCTTCTCACATTCTTCACTGCTCGAGTTCTAGGAGCCTGGACAGACATAACAAACTTCAATGCAACAAAAGAAAAGTTCAGACAAATGCAGGGTATCTTCAAGAGACAAATGCATTACATACAGTTTTCTGCACTGTTGAGTACAGATCAAAAAAGCATTTCCACACCCTCCACCCCAAACAATCACGCAACAACCAGATTTCCTCTGGAGCAGCAGCCAACCCAAGCAGCCCATGTTCAAACAAGCTGTGCTCAAGGAGAGAGGATGCCATGGATCTTAGTATTGCGAGACTCCAAGCACTCCCTAGGTAGCTGGCAGCTTTCCAGCCATCCTTCACAGCCACATATACCAACCACTGAAGAGTACCCACAGCTAATGAGGGGATTTCACTCTCAGGAGGGCCAACATAGACTTTGGGACTAAGTACACTGGCCTTAGAACACACCTGTGGCTTTCTAAGTTTGTGAGCCAAAGCTTATTAGGCTCTGTCAGCCAAGAACAGATCAGTTATATCTAGACTTCCCAGCCCTTTCCAGGAGCAGGACTATACTTGAGAAGCCTACTACAGCAGAGTCTTCAGACTCAGCATGCTCTCAAACAGAGTATGATTTGATCCAATTGTTATAGTTTATTAGTAGAAAATAATTCAGACATACCTTACTTTCTTCTATAACTTCAAAGGTAACTGAAGCAAACAGCTGTGAGAAAAGAGAGGAAAAATCCAAAACCTCATGTCATTTGTTAATATTTAGCACTCGTGTGTGTTTTGAGCTCAAGGAATAAATCATAAGACTTTGGTGCAATTTTATTAAAGTCAGTGAAGAACCCTTGACTAAGTTGACAGATTAATCATCAGGACAGTGAGGCCTTGAAATAAAACATGGTGTTTACTGGCCAGAGCGTGCATTTAATGTTAAGGTTTAAGACTAGGAACCGCAAAATTTGTGTTATTTGACATTGTCTCTTCTTGAACAAGACTCAATCTCGTTTTTTCCCATCTTTAACATGAAGGATAGTCGTTCCGTGACAGTAACGCCAAATGGATTAACTCCTGCAGTTCAGTACAAGGGCCTTGCACCACAAAAAGCCTACTGTATTTTAGCATGGTCTGCAAGTACCTACCTTGGAAAGTACTTGTGGTAGGTATTCTGGTCGGTAAGTGACAAATGGGAAGAGAGCAGAGACATTGGTGAGCACACAGGACAGGATGAGAGGATCCTTTGTTTCAAAATTAAGGACAAGCTGCAGCAGATCTATGCCATCATTCACTGGGATTTCCTACAGAGGCAGGAAAGAGAAAGCAGAAGGAAAGAAAAAAGGAGGCAACACTCAGTACTTCAGCCTGTAGCACACATCCTACAACTCCTAGAGCTCGACCACAGAACTGCTGCTATCATATCAGGTCTCTCAGCTAAACACAGCTGTTCTCAAACAGAAAGAAAAGCAGTAGAAACCTCAGGTTAACTGTGTGCTGTGTGCACCTGCTGAGGGAAGAAGAACAGCAGCATTGCCATTGTCGACCGGGTAGTCTTGAGGTGCCAATCTTAAGTCCCCATACTATTGCTTGCACCTCTGGGAAAGGCAATTTTCCTCTCTCTCAGTTTGGCTCCCAATTCTTCTCTTAACTCTGTCCAAGAGATTCCATGCTTAACCAACTATATCAACCACAATTATTTTACTGTGATTAGAATGATGAACTAAGTGAATGAGCACCTAATCTAATAAAAAAAAATTGCCAGTCTACATCAGACTGAGAAAAAAATGCTTTCCATCTAATTTGCCTGCTGTTGAACAAAAAGCAGAGGGAAATTGCTTCTGATCTACTCCCTAAGCATGAGTTTCTCTCATTCAGTTGAAAGTTAAAAATAAAATAAAATTTAAAAAAATCTAATCGGGGAGATGATTAAAAGAATAAACTTAGGAAATTTCCACTTAAGCAGTCCTCTTCTCCTCTAGCAAGGCACTATGTCAAAGCATGCCACCTGAGCGCTCTCCTGTGACTTCTCATGGCATAGCATCCAGAACCAAGACATGCCTGACAGACTAAGCCAGTATGAATTTGGTGCCAGCTAAAGAAGTGTCACTACTCCTCATCAAAATCTGGGTTTTTGCATGGAGGTTAACTGGTTACTACAAACTTGTCAAGGACAATGTAGCTGAAAAAAACCCTCTCGTGTCAACCCAGAACAAGCCAGGAGAGCAGACAAGAGCATCTGGTACACATACGTCTTTATCCAGGGTTCGAAACATCTGGCTGATGACGCTCTCTGAGAAGAAGGTCATGGCATCCCACTGCACAAAGGATGGAGAGAAGATGGAGCAGAGACCTTCGCCTGTCTTAGCTGAAAGGAAGAGAACACTGGAGCTCTCACCATGCTCCTCCCTGCATGCACACCACCAGGCTGATAAGCTCCCACGCTGCAGCAGCTGCCCAGAGAGGTGGTGGAGTCACCATCCCTGGAAGTGTTCAAAAAATGGGTAGATGTGGCACTTCAGGACATGGTTTAGTCTAGTCTACCCTTAATTGGTTTAGTGTGGACTTGGTAGTGTAGGTTAATGGTTGGACTGGATGATCTTAAAGGTCTTTTCCAACCTAAATGATTCTATGATTCTATGATCTTGGCACTCACAGGTATCTTGGTCACAGCTCTCCCTGCAGATGCCTGGCAGGGATGCACTGGGAGCAATTAAGGTACTCCCGTGTGTTTTGCCTCATTCAAGTGAAGGCTCCCGAGACATAAGTCTGACCTTTGAGATACTATAGGGAGCAACACCAACAAATCACAGAAGGGAAAAGGAAAGGAGGGAGACCACATGCCCAGACTCACTGCAGGCAAGACTGCCCTAGGTGTGACTTTGCAGAGCACCAAGTGGCCTTCCTTCACAGGAGGAAAGCAAGGTGACCGACAGAGGGATTTGCCAGACAGGCAGAACCTCCCTGGACAAAAAGCATACATTATGGAGATAACAAGGCCCAAGTAGTTGTAAAATTGTATCAGAGGGACAGCTGCATCTGTTTTGCAGAGAGATTTGGGGGAGGGAAAGGAAGAGCCAGGGGCTTTACATTAGCTATTCCATAGGTAGACTGCAAAGGGTTAAATTTGGGGTGGGGTGGGTTTGATTTGATTTTGCTTTTAACTTGCAAGGACCTTAAAAGCCTGAAAGCCTAGTGTTGAGTCTTAGCTTCCCCTTAAAAAAAAAGAAAAAAAAAATAAAGGCAAAGAAATGTCTTCTTGGCTTGAATTAAAAACCAAATCCCATATTCCTATTTTTTTTTTTTCAGGTAACTTACAGTTCATGGGTCCAGTATCAACAGGAGCTGTGAGCTGGTACTTCAGCCATTCACCAGCCATTTGGAAGCCAGTTCGAGGGTCCAGACGACAAGCCATCCTCATCACCTCTCCTTGCTGGGCTCGGAAAGCTGCAGTGAAAAAATCAGACACCATGCAACAAGCTGATGCTACAAATGCTCCCTTCCCCAAAGATCACCTGCAGCTTTGCAGACCTGGGAACATTATGGACTGTTGCTCTGGCAACAGCTGTGTAGTAAGCTCAGATATACAGTCAGTAAACTAGGTCTAACAGGATGTGCAATTTTTTGAAGTGATTTAAATGGACTAAAAAATGATGAATTAACATAAAAGGAAGTGCAATTAAAATGTAATATGAAATATGAAGATCTATGCTAAACCCAGATTTACTACAATTAAACTTCCTCTTCATTAAAAAAGTCTTCAAACTATACATGTTTACTGCTTACAAAGCACCTTGAGATACTGAGATAGAAAAATAGCATTAGGTAACTACCACTTCCTTCAGCTAAACACACTTTTTCTAGTTTATTCAACTTAACCCAGTTCAGATTCTAGGCTGATAAGCTAATGCAAACTCAAAAAACCCAAAGAAGTCTTGTTTTTAACTTCAAAGATATGAAAAGCAAAGTACAGGAATTTCCTTTGTTCCAAATATTCCAGTAGATGACCGCACAAAAGAATCAGCTCTGCTGACTACAGATGCAACTTGCATTGTTTAAAAAAGTTATTCTAGCAAGTAATTTTATTTTGTGCTTCAAATTGGGTTTATTTTCTTATATATGTAATACCTTCAATAGAATCATAGAATCGTTTAGGTTGGAAAAGACCTTT